CCCTTCACACTTGTGATGAGAATGATGTATGTTTAGTCTGCGTTGCAACATTGATTGGGCTCGTCATTGGTATTCTAGCATTCTGCTGCGCTATCTTGCACTACGTGATAGAGGTCAGTCCCGGTCAGGTCAGGACTTGTATCCAAGTCTTCCACTGCGCTATAAAGCACCATTTTTGTATGTATCAGAATGTACACTGCTTGTTGAGATTTCACTTGCACTGCATTGTCCATTCAGTCCTTTTTATCACATTTGCGGATCCTCAGTTTATTATGTACATTGCCCAAATGGGCATGTAACAGTGCATGTGTGTGTTGTGAATGTTCACCGCAACATCCCCTGTTCCACCCAGATGAGTAGATCCAAATTCAAAGCAGCTTTACCTCTATTCCAGACGATGAAGCATGATTAAGATGAGCCAATCCACTATCATACAAGCAATGCGACACACTTGAGATAAGCCAACCCAACAATGAAACAGTTAGCAATATGAAACACAATGGATCCATTATATCGTTTTCTTGATTATGTTAACCTTAGCTGTCTTCGGGAGGCCTCCCATTTTGTTTGTTCTTGCAGCGTGTGTGTGCGTGTGTGTGCATGTGTGTGTGTGTGTGTGTGTGTGTGTGTGTGTACACTGTGTATTCAAATACAACCCTAAATTTCGAATACAACCATGTGCGTTCTATTCGATTTTTTTTCAAATTAGAAAAGTCGAATACAACACGTATGTGTTATGTTCGGTGGAAGAAGGTACAGGTAGCCATGCCGACAAAACACGGGACATGATTCACGCAGGCATGAACATGCACGACATGACTCCACGACATGTGGTAAGGGACACAATGCAGATGTGAGAATAGAAGTGAACAATGATGGAAGGCGTGGGAATTTCAAAGCACCTTACAAAGCTGAACAAAGTAAGCTTGCAGACTTTGCTGTCTCCTTTGCAATGACCTATCTGTAGTTTACCTCTGACAAATGGATGGAATAATATTAATGCCCCCAAGTTCCCCAACCGGCCGGTACATCTTGAGAATCGCGAATGAGCCTCTTCGAAAAGTTCAGGGACTCCGGAGGACAGGGCCCGCCTGGGGGCGGCCGGGAATTTTTTTTTTGTTGTTCCGTGCCGCGCCTGGTCCGAATTGTTTGTTTTCACCTGCCCACTGGCCGGCCCTGTCCTGACCCTCCTAAATTTTCAAAGAGGCTCATTCGTGATTTGAGACTTGGCTGGGGCCATGTACTTATGGTTTCAATATCACTCCAATGATTCCAATCCCACTCCTTTTTTTTTTTTTTTTTTAGCATCTGGTGGCTGAGCTACGGGGCTCCAATCTCCCTCCAATTCCGAAGACGAACGACAAAAAGAACCAGAGTCCTATCACGCTATTCTATGCTAAATTGCTAATATGTTCACAGCACAGGCCTGCTTGGAACTCTCTCATTTTGCCATAAGGCCCATAACCAATAGATTGGGGTCACCAGGGGGGGGGCGGGGGTCATATCAACCAACCCCGGATCTCTGATGACTGTCATTACTGTGCTGCAACTCCTGCTCACTGTGCGCTCCACAGTAAATAGAACAGCTTCCTCCAGAAAAAAAAAACTGGTGTTAGGGAAAGCAGCTTGCAAAGCTCAACAAACTGACTCACTCCAGCAGAGTCCATCTTGCATACTTTGCAATTTCCTCCATCTTGCATACTTCGCAATTTCCTGTGCCATGGCCTGTCGGTTCCTCTCTGATGACTGTGATTTACGTACTGTAACTGCCGCGCCCCGTGTGGTGGACTTTTAGATAGCTTCCTCCAGCAAACTTGTGCTTTGGCACAGTGCCTTTACTACAGTTCATGCCTTGCCTGGGCCTCAGCAACCACCTGCGTGGATTTTTGCC